TCTTTCCCTCTTGATATGTGATGCCACGAAGACATCTACTAATGAGGAAGTTTGCTGCTTGGACATGAGTTGTGATAAGCATTTGCAACCTGAGGGGAATGGATGATAAAACCATACACTTATGCACCAAAGATACAATAGCAAAGAGACAGTCTATCAGTCACGTGAATTGTGATTGGCCTGTTGCAATGGAATAGCCTTTAACAAAAAAAATGAAAGCTATTTACCTCCTGATGGATTTTACATAGTTGCACAAAAGGGAAAAGAAATAAGAAAAGAAGAGAGAAGAGAATAGAAAAGAAGAGAAAGGTTCCCACCAGCTCTTCCCCTCCAAAATTAGCATTGGCATTGGTGAAGTCACACACAAAGGAAAGTCTCACTTTCTTTGTGCCTCTCACAATGACATCAACATGCATGGCTATGAGATGACGAGAGAATACCTTACTTACAATGAGTAACAAATTAGAATTTTCTTCAAAGTAAAAAAATGATAACACAAGACCATCATAGGTATATGCTAGCTCTTTCAAAACATCTCTTTTTGACTAGATGTCAGTTAAAATCACTTGACTGGCCATCTGTTCTGTCTAATACAACACAGGGGAGTATTCTGAATAGGCTGAAGAATGTCTACTATGCAACTTGGCTGGAACATCTGCCAAAAATGAAGTTGGCTTTGTTTTCAACATGGTTATCTACTTTGAAATTACTCCATAGAATAAATAGTGATATTCCATGGGTAGAGGTAGATTATGGGGTTTAAATACTCAAATTGGAGCCCCGTAACTTTATGTGCTATAGGAGGATTCTCATAAAACTGAGATATTCCCATAATTAACCACTAGCCATGGGATATTATAATATATTCCATGGTGACTAGTATTTTTTCCATTTCCCTCCCCCCTCCCAGTAGAATTAGTATGATTAATTTTGCTCTGGTTTCACCTATTGCTAACATGAATCAGTATAATTAAAAATAAGAATACCATATTTAGAAGCGATCACCGTTTAGGCCAAACTGGCCATTCATGACCGGTCAGACCTTTACCAGTTAGCCTTTGCTGCTAGAAGGTTGAAAGAGCTGTAACTCACCAACCCATACTTGCAAAAGGAGCATGTTTTAGAAAATGTGGTTCAAAACTCTTCATGGTTCTAAATGCTAAATTCTAGTGGAATATTATAGAATCGATTGATTTGCATGCCATGAAATAAACATCCTTACATCTAGTCTTCTCTCAGAGTGAGTCATTTTGCATTAGTGTCAAGAATTTGAGCTGTTGTTCTACTTTGCAGTTAATCATCAGAAAGAGACGGGATTGTCTCATGAATATGCATGATGATATAGCTGTCCCTTCAACTTACTAGGCACCTAGTTTCTGTAATGAGATGTACAATATCTGCCATTTAAAACAGCTGAAAGGTCCCAAATGGGGACAAATGAGAAAGCATCTGGCTGTTTCAAATTCCAGCCCTGTTTTGTCAGAAAACTGTAATTGCTGAGTACTTGGCTCCTACTCTGCTCTATGAAGCATTCAGCTCTCAGGAGCCTCTGAGATGCATTACACAGTCCAGCAACATAGCTGTAGAACTCTCAAAATTCTTCCACTAGATGTAACAGCTCTTCAAAATATCTTGAAACTTGTATGCCCTTAACCAGGACCAAAGTTTGGGCTCCTAGAGCGTGCTCTCATCCTTAGTTTTGCTGATCAGCCTCCACTGTACCATTTGTCCCTGCAACCTAGACTTCACACATATTATTCACTGTGTGATGGTGGGACTAGAATGGATAAATGTGCTACCCATTGCTCTAAGAAAGCAGTCTGGCTGAATCTTAAATCACTACGCGGGATGGAGGTTAACGGTCAGATGGACATTCCTCTAAGAGGTTTCCTACCTGCTCTGTTAATTTCTAAAATTTCTTCTTGGGCCAGTGGGCAAGTGTCGCTCTGAGTACTGTGGTGTGGAGAGTTTACGACAGATTTACAATAATTGGGGGATCCCAGCTGGGGTGGCCTCGGGATATGCTTCTTTTTTTTCTTTGGTAGCTTCTGCTTAGCCATAGCTAAGGAGTAATACATTCCGAAATTGTTCACAATGACAGGGACAGGCATGGCAATGGTCAGCACACCAGCGAGAGCACAGAGGGCCCCCACCAGCATGCCTGACCAAGTCTGAGGATACATGTCTCCGTAGCCCAGGGTTGTCATGGTGACAACAGCCCACCAAAAGCCGATGGGGATATTTTTAAAGTGTGTGTGTTCACTGGCACTAGGGTCATTTGGTTTAGCACCTATTCTCTCGGCATAATAGATCATCGTGGCAAAGATTAAGACGCCCAATGCCAAAAATATGATGAGCAGCAAGAATTCGTTTGTGCTGGCGCGGAGGGTGTGTCCCAAGACCCGCAACCCAACGAAGTGGCGGGTCAGCTTGAAAATTCGCAGGATTCGCACGAAACGGACTACGCGGAGGAAGCCCAGGACATCCTTAGCAGCTTTGGAAGACAGGCCACTGAGTCCAACCTCTAGATAGAAAGGCAGTATGGCCACAAAGTCAATGATGTTCAAAGAGTTTTTGATAAATTCCACCTTGTTTGGGCAGAAAGTGACTCTCATCAAGAACTCAAATGTAAACCAGACCACACAGACACCTTCGATGTAGGTGAGAAAGGCTTCAGTCTCTGCTTCTCTGTAGTGCCGCACCTGGGTGTCATTCCCGATGAATTCAGTTTCTGTCTTGTTCACAATGGGGTTAAATCTCTCATGGGTCTCGAGGCAGAAGGTGGTGATTGAGACCAGAATGAAGAAGAGGGAGGCAAATGCCACATACTGTGGAAAGAAAGATATGAGACAAATGTTAAACAGTAGGTTAAGTACAGGGGCTTTGATTCTGAAACACCAGGGAGAGACAAGAGCTCTAGTAAAGCTAAAGATAATGCCAAGCTTTCTTCCTGCGGGCTTAAGATGCCAAGTCTCACCTGAAAAGACAGCCTAACATTTGAACTTGGAGGGAGATCAATATATAAGTACATGCTAACATCCATTCATATACAGATAGCACTTTAGTGTGAGTGTAAATTTAAGCAAGCATTTAAATCTCAGAGCTTTCTGTCAGATTGAGGATTAAGGACATACTGAAATTCTACCTTCCTGAACTTGGTCTTCTGTCACTTCTCAGTCTTAAAGATAGAGCATGCCTTCTAGCCCAATTGTCGTGCAAGAGTATTTTCACAGCATTCTGTCAGTGGTATGGTGGTTGCGTCCTGCTCCCAGCTTAGTGATAGTTATGGTACTTTAGATCTCAGTACGGTGCTAGTAAGTACTAGTGGCAGTCTCAGGTGGGCTCTACAGGAAGGAGCAGAGTCCTGCTTGGCATCATCAGACTTTCTTGACAAATGCCAGGGACAGGTTGAGGAACAGTCACATATGAAACTGAGCTCTCCTAGATAAACATCTTCTATGTTCTCAGTTCCCTTCTCCAGATCTCTTGGGGGTGGGGGACAGGGAGGGGAAGAAAGAGGTTTCAGGTAAGGCTGTCATCTGATCCAAAAGGAGACAGATCTATTGGATTTTACCAGACAAAGTTTTCTTGAAGCAATTCTCATTACAATGTAAGACTCACACCAGAACTAGATGAATCTTTTTTAAGGCTGTTGGATTATAATTTGGTTAATCAAGTTACAGTGAAGGTGGTAGCAGCCCCGAAAATCAATGAGTGTTTATCTTAGGCATATTTGCCTCTTCTGCTTCAGTTCCTGCTTTTCATAGAATCATAGAACAGTTTAGGTTGGAGGGCACCTTTAAAGGTCATCTAGTCCAACCCCCCTGCAGTAAGCAGGGACATCTTCAACTAGGGCCGGGCATTCAGAGCCCCGTCCAGCCTGACCGTGACTGTTTCCAGGGATGGGGCATCTACCACCGCTCTGGGCAACCTGTTCTAGTGTTGCACCACCCTTATTGTAAAACATTTCTTCCTTATATCTAGTACGAATCTACCCTCTTTCAGTTTAAAACCATTACCCCCTTGTCCTATCACTACAGGCTCTACTGAAACGTCTGTCTCCATCTTTCTTATGAGCCCCCTTTAAGTATTGCAAGGTCACAATAAGGTGTCCCTAGAGCCTTCTCTTCTCCAGGCTGAACAACTCCAACTGCCTCAGCTTTTCTCAGGCTTTCCTCAGCCTAAATGAGATCTCTTGGTTGTATTCCAGAATAATTGAGGGGTACAGTCAGGCCAAAATTCACAACCAGTTAAAAATAACCTAAGCTACCAAAGCTCTCCTGCAATCAAGAAGTTCCTCCCGTCTGCTTTCCTGGGTAGACCTGGTGCAGAATTACACTTGACCTTCTGTATTAGCAAACAAAGTCAAAAGCAAGGATTTGCTACAGTTTGAGGTGAACCATTTAATAGAATGCAGAGAAACTGTCAGAGAATAAAATCACAGAATCATTTAGGTTTGGTACAGCCTCAAAGTCGGACCAGGTTGCTCAGGATCTTGTCTGGTCCAGGTCTGAGTATCTCCAAGGTTGGAGATCCCACAGCCTCTCTTGGCAGCCTATGCCATTGTTTGGCAAGTAAGAGCAAATAAGCTTGGTAGGATACAGAAGCAAACAGGCCCTTCTGCCTTTCAAATCCAACTTTGTTGCCAAAGAGGTCAGAACCTAGCCATTGTGACAGATTTAAAAAAACCCCAGTACCTTCCTCTAAATGCTTCAGGCTATCACAGCATTATTATGTGATGATCTAATATATGTGCTGATATGTGCTAAAATCAGTGTCTAATATAAATAGTTGTCTGGAAGATAAACAATCTTCCAGATTGTTAGGGGGTTAGGGAATTTGAGAAGCAAGACTGGGGGTATCTTTTTATCAGATTCTCCTGTTAAACAGGGAGATTTCTCCATGCCCTGTTTCTCCATCTGTAAAAGAGGTTAAAAAAAATACCGGCTGGTGTTTGTCATGTGCTTTGTGGTCCTAGATAAATATGTACAGGCTCTATATGCTTTCATTTGAATATTACTGACTTTAGTATATCGACAGTCCCCCTGAAAAATAAGTTGAAGAGTCTTTTAAGTGGTCGCAGTCGGTTTGTGTATGGTATTGTTAACACTCAGAGCTTAATTAAGTAGAGGTTAATACCCTGACTGTCTGAGTAAAACAAGAAGCAAAAAGCATCTTGCACCAAGAACTCAGGAGAATGTTCCTAGCAGCCTCAGCATGTCTGCTCTATTTCAGCCTCGAGCAGATTTTTACTGTAGAGTCGTAGAGCCCTGAGAATTCAAGCTGCAGAAGGAAACACTGACACTTTGTTAAGTCAGGTAGCGCTCACAGATAAGAAGCAGAGAGGGGAATAAAACCATTTTGCATTTTAAGGGGGCTGTGAAGAAGGCCCCTTTCTTTATGCTGACTCAAAACGCAGTTCTCCTCTTGGTGTATATGAATATCTCTCCTGAGTGAGTTTTTCCTGCTTAGAACAACCTTCAGGCTGACCTTGCACAGCAAGTATCTTGAAAATTGATGTTTTGCTGTATTAAAGGGAAGAAATAACCAATTTTGTCAGGACATTTAAGTTCTCTGCAGTGGTACATGCTAGCAGTGTTACCAGTAGAGAACATCACCCCCATGATCTGTCTTGCTGTTAGCCCTTGTGTGGGCACACCTTGGCTTCAGAGGGGAATTGAGAACTTTTAGTCCCCAGTTCAGCAGAGCAGGAAGCACCTGATAAATCAATGTGAAGTGTTTGCTTCCTTCTATCTGTATTTAACAACATCCAGAGCCCTTTCCCAGGGATGACCATGCTCTTGAATGCTTTGCAGCTTTGGAACTGTGACTCTGCTTTCAAGATTTCATAAAACCATGTCTGAGCAATGGTATTGATAGGAAGAATCCCAGTATTTCTTCTTCAATTTATCTTTTTTCCTCTGTTGAATTACTAGCTAATCTTAAAATCTCTTCTACATTTGAGAAGTAAAAATGCTCCTTAGTCATTCCATGCTTCAATACTGAAAGGACTTTATTTTTTGTTTTAGAAGAAAGACTGCACAGACTGAATGGAGAACACAGTGGAGAGCAGCCTTTTAATAAAGGTCCCATTACAGTTTCCCAGTCTCTTGGCTGATCCAAAGAAGTGAAGAAATGCTGGAGAATCAGGCCTGACAATTCGTTTGCTGGCACCCATCTCTGATAGATTTATCATCTGAAGCTCCTTGGTACACAGAAATTTAGCAGCTTGCCACAAATGAATGTATAATATGTCGTTGGTATAGATTTATGTTTGTGATCCCCAATTTATATTGCCCCCCACCCCTTTTTAATTCTGAATATTTTTCTTTGTTAATTAGCTGATATAAGATCTAGCAAGCTGCAGACAAAAGCCAATAGCACCAAATTCAGCAAGTGTGTTTTTCTAAGGAGACCAGCATTCAACAGGGTTAAAAAAAAAGCTCTCTTTGGCCCACCATCACGAGGCCAACAGAGACCAGCTATCATGCCAACATGATAGCTTGCCAAGTCCAGAGATGAGTAATGTTGGTAAAATCTAGTGAAGACTATGGGATTCTTATGTGTTCTAACATCTTTGAAAATAAGGCTATCTCTATTTCTCTAATAATGCCCTGAACACTAATCAAACCAATGGATTGCTCTTGTATTATTCAGTGCTGCTTAATCTTCTTTCTCCTTACATTTTACAACAGAATTTCTCTTCTTCCTAGGATCTGAATGGACTGGGGGAAAGGAGTGAGGATTTTATGAAGTGATGTCACGTGCTGCTGCGTTACATAATGGCAGCTAACATTTTCTATAATTAAAGACAATACCTAGGTAAAGTGTTTGAAGTGATCAAAACTCTTTTATCTGCTTTGACACATGTGAATGATTCGTATTTCACAAGAGATGCTGCCGCCATTGCTTTTTTCTGGCTCTAATACCAACAAAGGAAAATCTCGGGTTGTCCAAAATCATAGAAGAAGCCGTAAGAGAAGGCAGAGAGGAGATTTTAAAAAGGGATATTTTGATTAAAATTTAAGTTACATTAAAATGTCTTCATTCTGGAGAGAGAAGAAATTACACTCCTGCATAATTTTTGTTAATAGCGAATATATTTTAATAAAGTTATTTTGAAAGAGTCTAAAAGATACCATGCCCATAAGTAGAGAATTTCATAATCTAATTTATATTGCCTCTGATTAAATCTATCTATCTTTGTATCTCAAAGGCCTGCTTCTCCACTGCCCTATGTCTAACCTAGCCCTTTTTGTGAGTGCAGTGTGAATATGAAGTGCCAATTAATTCAGAATAGTAGTGTTTTACATCAGCTTTGCATAGCTGTAAAAGGAGCAAGGTAATAGAATCAGACTTAGCCTCTGAATAATGAGCTAGTATCTTTCCACTGGAAAGAAAACAGTCCAACAGCCTTAAAAACACAAATAAAGCTTCTAATACATGAGGATTAGGGGGCCAGGCTCATTCAGAAAAAAGGTCTGAGTCTGACCGGGCATTATTAAATGCACAGGTGTGGCTGCTTACTTCTGGGAATCAGTTTTTAAAACAGCACTTTACCTTGCATTTCTGAGATACTTCTGGTCTTGGAGATAACAAACCTTTTTTATCCTTTGTTTTAAACAAACAAGCCCAGCAACCCACTAGAATTAATTTATACAGCGCATGGAATTGCCAGGCTTCAATGCAGATGGGCAGTGAAGGCTGGTGATGAAAGAGATGACTGAGGCTCTTTTCCACTGAGGCTCTTTTCTAACATCCAGCACTGACACATTCTTAGTTTTCAAGCACGTGTGCCTGCATCTTTTGCACCGTCCTTTGTCTACTT